AACCAAGTCTTTTTTTTTTTTTTTTTTTTTTTTTTTTTTTGTGTATGTTCTACCAGTTCAGTCATGTCATTTTCTTTGGCTTAGCATTACAGCTAAGCCACGCTCCAGCTCGGATTTTCTACCAAACTCTTCCAACGCTTTAAGCCTGTTGGTGTGATTCTGCATGGGTGAAGCGATTCTTCTCGCTTTATCCAGTTCCAGAGTTATTTTGAAGTACTGAGCCTAGAAGGTGGGAGGAGAGCAGGAGAGCTGCTGTTTAGGTTTTAGGTTGAGAGAGTAAGAAAAAAGATAAGAACCCCTCTTTTTTTTTTTTTTTAAGCCGTTGCTGAGAGGAGCTCAAGAACTTTTGAAGAGCAGGACTCTTAGGTGAAATGTTGTATTAAGAACACAGGATTATTTTCAGTAGAGCTGGCAGTCCAAAAACTGCTGATTCTGAGAGGTGGTATGGTAGAAAGAAGCAGCTTGCTTCTTGGCTAGAGGTGAATGAATTTTTGCAAAGAAAACAGCATGGAATTCTTGTTAAGAAATAAGGGAGAGAGGAAGGAATAGATATTCAAGCATAATGAAAACAGTTCTTGTAGTTGTATCAGTAAAAGTCAGCAAGCTGCATTTAATGCTTTTGAATGTTAGTGAAAATTAAACCATGAGAATAATTCAGTGTCACTAAGTTTATCCACTCTATCCCACTAAATATTGTGACTGTTGTTTTCCAGAAACAGGAATTTACAGGTTAAATTGGACTTCTGCAAATATTTTTTTACCTCAAAACCTGGAACATTTAAAGCAATCTATTTGTAAAATAGTGTAGTTCTTGTTGGATGACTCTTACAGAAACAGCTGAATATTACATATTTATACAATGTGTTCAAGAAATTTTGGATTAATTCTTCACCAAATCTCTCCTTCTAAAAATTCTTTCAATTGGAGATCAGTCATGACACCAGATTCCACATCTGAATGCATTTTCTGTGCTTTTCTTACTATGATTTTCCTTTGAGACAGTCTTTGAAGAAAGGAAACAGACTTGCAATCCACATATTGTTTTGGTGGGTGATTGGGAAAGAATGGGAAGTGTCGTAGGAAAAGACTGGAAAATTAGCAGGGCTGAAAAAGAAGTACTTATTCCCTCCTGAAGACACAGACATTTTCAGAGATTTAATTTTTTTTTGCAGCAAGTTCTCTTAGGCAAAGTAAAACAGAAAGGTGTTTTTGTGTGGTGCCACTAGATCTGAAGAATGAGTTGGTGGTTGTATTTACATGCATGTTTAGAGAACCCTCTAAAACATTACAGTTTGCACTAGGCCTTTCACCAGCTTTGTTGCCCTCCTCTGGACACATTCAAATACCTCCACCTACTTTTATATTTTTGAGACCCAGAACTGCACAGAGTGCTCAGGGTGAGATAACACCATGGCTGAATACAGTAGGATAATCTTCATCAGCATCCAGATGAAAAGCAGGGAAATACTTGCACTGTCTCTGGGGTTTATCATATGTTCCCTGAGAGCTGGAAGGAGACAGCAGGGCTTCTGGGCAACAGGAAACAGGCAGAAAATAAGAACTGCAGTAAGGGGTGAGGAGAACCAGGATAGGAGTGAAATGATCTTCTTTCTTCCTTCATGAAGTCATTGAGTATGAATACTAGGTATCAAATCATCTCTGTGGGTCTCCACGCAATCAACTACCACTCCCTGGGCTCGGATGCATTCATGTTGGATTTCTGCCTTTCAGCTGTGGGGAAAACTATTTCAGTGATGCCCAGTTAGGATACCATACATGCCAGTCCAGCAAGGCATGTGACACAACACATGAAGGTCTTGGCAGAGCAGTTAGAATCTCTTGCAAAGACAGATCTCTGGCCCATCAGTGCTTCCTCCTCAAAAACCAAAGTTAGTGCACTGAAGGTTGAAATGTGTCCTGAAAAAAAATTTCCCAAACTTGCAGAGAAATACTAATACTTGACAGAAATTGTACTGATGCTGAAAATATACTTAATAACCTCCTGTCAGCATAATACCTTTGTTGAGAACATAAGAACTAAAGAGACATATGACAAGCCTCTGACATGTTTCTGCAAAATCTTGACTGGGATGTTAAAGTCAGTAATTACAAAAGGTTTTGTGTAGTTAAAGAAAACAAATGCCTAAGGGAGGTTTTGCTCACTTCAAACGAGAAAAGGAACATGGGTTTCAGTTGTTGTTAGTTAAAAGAAAAAGAATCTAATGATTTTTCTCATCCATATTTAACGACAGCTGATAATCTCAGTTCTCAAACTCATTAACTCAGAGATTATAGCCATGACCTGATAAAACTGAAGGTGAAACTTCAGAAAAAAATGAAGTCTGGAGCAGTTAAACTGAAGGGAGGGGATGCTGCTGAAATCCACAACTCTATCCAGAGTCACCCATCCTTGATGACAATCAAATAAAATATTTAAATTCTTTTCCCTTGTTACTTCTAGGATGGTTTTTTTTTTTGTATTACTGTAAGTACTCCCTGGCACAGACAGCAGCTTTCTCTGGTGGGTAGCATAACAGCTGGTCAAAAAAGACATTATAATTTTTCCTGAATTTGGAGGTAGGTATATGAACCATTCTGTCATTTAAAGTACTCATGAGCTGAAAACATTCTGCAGTAGAGTGATTTCATACATGGCTATAACACAAAAGGTGTTGGTTTGTGTTATCAGGCAGCCTTCTCTATAGTGTCACATGCCTTCACCAGCGTAAACTTCTGAGAGAATTTTCTTTCTTTGTTCTTTCCAGTAAAATAGCATTGGATTCAAGGATAAGACTCTTCTGTAATCAGTTTTTTTTTGTTATCCTTTCCAATGAACACTTTAATACAAAAGAGACATACCTGAGCAAGTCTCGTGTGGAATTCAGGACAGCCAGATAAGAAGATCTGAACCTTTTTGATCCCTGAGAGGAAAGCCATCTGGTGATGGCTCAGCAGCTGGTTGGCTGGGATTACTGTCATTAGTGGCACTGATTGCTTTCCTTTGCCTGTGAACTAAGCACAGAACTTGTCTACCCCAATGGAAGCACTTCAGGGCAGCTGTGGTTTCATTGTAGAGTGAGCAGAACATTAAAGAGAGAGTACACATGAAGACAGATTTTAGCTCCTATTCACCACTGAACAGCTGAGAGTTTGAGCTGTGGATTACCTGTGTGACTTTGATAATATTGCCTCAGTTCTTTTCTCCAATGCTTTTCACCTAAAAAATAAGTATTACCTCACCACAGACTTGAGCACTATAAGAATAAATCGGCTTATACCTCGAAGCCATTTTCTTGTCTGTCTCTACCTTTAGTTATTACAGGTTGTTATTTAGTTTCATTTGAAGATATGACTCCATTCCAAAGAAATCAATGCATTTCAAGCACAGTTACTATAAGTTTAACTTTTCCTGCCTAGGTTGCAGTTTTCAAAGAAAGACTTTTCACTTGGGCTAGGACAAATGGGGCAGGTTTCCTGATATCCGTCATCAAGGCAGATACAATACCAGGTGATTAAAAAAAGGAGGATGATAACAGGAGAAATTTTTGTGAAATTTTTTTTTTGTTAAAAACAGATTTTTTTTTTTAATTGGAGCAGAAAATAACTGATACCATTGCATGCAGTATTGAACAGAAAATCTCTTGAGCATTGAGATGATCTTCCTGATACTCTGAAAAATAACTCGCTGCCCATGGAAATACTGAATGATTTTTTGGTGTCTCCTATGGAACAGCCTATACAATCACAGAACCACAGGGTTGAGTTGGAAGAAACCAAGGTGGTCAACTGGTTCAACCTCCCCACTCAGGCAGGGTCATCCTGGAGCACATGGCACAGGACTGTGAATACTCCAGTGAGGGGGACTTCACAGCCTCTCTGAGCAATCTGTCCTAGTGTTTGGGCACCCACACTGTAAATAAGTTCTTCCTCATATTCAGGTGGATCTTTCTGTGCATGTCTCTGCTCATTGCCTCTTGTTCTATTGCTTAACACCACCGAGAATAGCCTGGATTCATTAATCTTCTTGGCACCCTCCCTTCAGATACTTACAGTTTGGACTTGATGATCTCAAAGGTTTTCCCAGCCTAGCTGATTCTGTGATTTCATGATGTTGATGATGTCTCCTCTCAGTCATCTCTTCTCGAGGCTGAACAGGCCCAGCTTCCCCAGCCTTTCCTCATAAAAGGGACTCTCCAGCCCCTTGATCTCCTTTGTTGCCCTGTGCTGGACCCACACCAGGAGCTCCATGTCTCTCTTCCACTGAGGAGCCCAGAGCTGGACACAGCACTCCAAATGTGGCCTCACAAGGGCTGAGTAGAGGGGTGGGATCACTTCCTCGACCTGCTGGAATGCTCTTCCTAATGCACCCCAGGACCCCACTGGCCTTCTTGGCCAAAAGGTCACACTGCTGGCTCATGGACAGCTTGCTGCCCACCAGGACCCCCATGTCCTTCTCTGCAGAGTTGCTTTCCAGCACATCAGCCCCAGTCTGTACTGGTGTGTTGAGCTATTTCTCTCCAGGTGCAGGACCCTGCATTTGCCCTCACGGAATTCCAGACAGTTCTCTGCCCATCTCTCCAACCCACTGAGGTCCTTCTGTAGAGCAGCTTTCAGACAACCCTCTGGGTTATCAGCCTCTCCTCACAGCTTTGTGTTAGCCAAGAACATTCTCTTAAGTAGATTGAGAACTTTCACTAACCATATACTGAGTAATTTATGTATGAACTGCTTTCTCACTGAGGAGGGAAGGAAACAGAAAAGGATTATAAAAAGTATAGCTATTTTTTTTTCATATCACTGTGCTGTGTTTGCTCACCTTTGGTCATCCGAGTCACAACTTTGTTAAGAGCTGCTTCAGCATAACAAAGGCATTTTAGAAATGAGGAAATTGCTGTAAAGTCTGAATATTGAGCATGAGCTGTCATGGAATAATGTCTTTATATAATCATTGATTTTTCAGCTTAGTTTGTAACAAAAAGTTCATGCTGATTTATATTTTTACAAATTACCAATTCTATTTATTGAAATCATATTTTAGCAGCTTGGGATCACAAATGGTTTATTACCTATCTAGCTGAAAGGATTTCTGCTGCTATTTTGGTGTTAGATTTCCTACTGATCTGCTGCATCACCACTGCTTATCACAAAAAAGTTAGTAACAAATCAATTTGCATAATACACTGAAGCAGGTAAGGATGGATGTGTTAACAGCTCATCCTACTATCCCACTCAGAAATTGAATTTTCTCACCAATATTTTAAACTTGAAAAAAACCTATCACTTCTAGAGCCTTTAAAAAAGCGACATTTACTGGGTGTTTTTTTCCTTTTTTCACATTGGGAAAACAAATGGCTTACTCAAGTTCCTTTGTCAGCTAAATGCTTACTGTGGTATTAGCTGAAACAACATGTTAAGGGTGATTTGTCAGGAACAACATCAAGTTAGGCATTGTTATTCCTATTTTGTGTACAGAAGACAGGTGATATCTTCAAGTTTCCTACATCTTCTAGCACTTTTTGTCCTCTGATTTAATGCTCGAGATTTCCAGCTGGATCCAAATTAATGGTTTAAACCATTATCTAAGTTTGCTGTATTCCCTGCCAAATATCTCTAGTAGTCTGATCAAGAATCTCTCTTCTTCCAAAGGAAAAAGTAGTGAGCAGAAGATATATTCCTTCCCCTACCACAATATATGATGCAGCTGGAATTTTGGGCAACATATTAGGGTTTCCCCAAACCAAAGGGCCTTTTCAGGCTTTTATGATACAGTGCTAATCTCATGCATGTTACAGCTTGCAAGCCTACCTGGAATTTTATTGTATTTATTGGTTTCAGTGGGAAAGTAAGCAACATCAGCATTATACTGGAATTAGACATTTTAGACTATACTATCATGTATGGTGCCGTTTCCTCCACTATGTTTCTGACTAAATGTATGTCTTCAGAAAGAAGAGGAGGATCACAGATGCTTTATCAAAAGTATTGTACTCAGATCTGGGTAAGGTCACATGTTGAGATGAAGCTTTCTCATGGTTTGCCCTGTGTATTTCTTAAGCTCTTTCTCTTCTGTGTCTATTCTTTATATCCCCTGAATCTTATAGTTTAATCTTCAACTATATAGACAGGAAAAATTGAAGATTTTAAAATACGATTACTACTATTCATTATTTTTTGATGAATACCCCTTAATGCTTTACAACTACATTTAGAGACTACTCTGGTCTATGTTATTAACAAATTATCTCTTTTGGTTTGATAGCCTTTTTATTAATTGTGTCTTTGTTTTTTTTTTCTTCAAGTCATCACTTGTAAAATTGAGGCAAAAAATCATATTGTATGATACTCTTTGTCTTATCTGATTTTTCCAGTTCCACTTCACTACAATTCTTTAGGATAGATGTTTCAGTGCATCTCCTTTTTTGTGTGTATTGTAGCAGTCTATGTTTTGGAACACTGAGTCTTTATTTTTTCCCCTTAATAATCCTATTCAAGTCCTGAAATTTAGAAGTGGAAATTTCACTGCTTCTGTCTTGTTCCTTCACACCCTTAATAGGGGATGTGTTTAGGGAAGTGAGTGTTTCACAGTGGATATGAGACCCCATTTTCACAGTGGATGTGAGACTCTGCCTTTCCACCTATCTCCTCTCAGATCTCACTCCTGTATGATCCAGTGACAAGCTCCACTTTCAATGTCACTGTCAATATGTCCTGATAAAGCCGATTTCTCTCGTTCTGACTGTTGGGTCACTGTTTGTCCTGGGATGAAGCTCTTCCTAGAGTGGCCATAGGTTAAGGACTGCTCTTTTGCTTCAGAAACCACCTTTCCTCCATAACAGTTCTGTATGTAAAATTTAGTTGTCTTAATGAAATGACTAATTCTTAGCATAGTCAATAGCTTCAGAATAATTCATGTTTTAAGATGGGTATAGGAGAGACTGCGTTAGTACCTGAGAAGTGTGTGTGAGGGGAAGAGGGCATTTCACTGGTGCTTTATCAGGGGCCAGATGTGAGACAGATGGGAAGCATATTCAAGCTGCAACTTCTTTTTTTCATATGGCTTGGATCTGAAATGTATTCACAGAAAACAAGAAGACAAAACCCCATTTTTATTGATGGTTTCATACTTCTGAATAATAAATCAGATCTGAAGAAAAATTCTTCTGCTTTTTCAAAGCAGCAGCTGCTTTGAGAAAAGTCCTTCAACTTTTTTTTTTCTTTATTTTTCTTTTTTTTTTTTCTTTTTTTTTTTGTTTTTTCTTTTTCTTCCTTTTAATGCTCTTCTAGCCTCCTAACAGTTATGGAAGATCCAATTTTCATGGCATACAGAGCAGAGAAAGAAGAGAAGAATCATCACTCAGGCAGACAGAGGAGATTTATGTCAACTGCAAAAATGTCTCACACAAACATAAGAAAAGATCATTAAGTTCTTTCTTAAGAATGAAGCAATCAAAGCACAGGCCTTTTATTTACAGAATAGACTTTATTTTCTCTGTGCTGGCGAGAAGTGTAAGGTCAAACTGGCTGTGCTGGTACTGCCTGAACTGCTTCAGCAGGACAGTGATGAGACTCTGGCTGTGATGGTGTTGTATTGCAGACTGCAGAGTTACCCTATCCCTTAATTCATATGCAGGATTAGAGACTATTTGTCCTTCTGCAATAGAAACACTTTTTCCTAGTAGGTGGACTCTTAAGGATCAATTGTAGAACAGCTCTAATATGCAGAATGGAGCTGCATATGTTTACATAAAGTTAATTTGGTCTGAGAAATCTATGTGTATGAGAAGCCTATGTGACAGGGTGAGAAAGAAAATGTGTTTGATGTTGTCTATGTTCATAGTTTTTGCATCTCAAATTGGGAGCTCTATGGAATAATAAATACCCATGATTTTCCACACAGGAGGTGTTATTTTGCTGCTGGGCAAACAGCGCTATTCAGCTGACAAAAGCAAATGTATCAGGGCTCCTTGAACCTAGATTTAAAAGTATGAACAGCAGCTTGGTATCTGACAGCTTTGTGGTTTTACAGCCTTCTTGCCACTCACCATAGCAATTTCAGTGTTTTCTCTTTGGGGAAGCAATTGAAGTGTAGCCCCTGCTTTCCCCCCTGACTCCTTCACCCCCTCATTCCCCCCGGCCAGAAGAAAACAAAACAGGAAGACTCTGTCACTGTCAGGTTATATTTAATAATTTATTATAAGGTTTAGTTGCGCAAAAAATAAATGAGAACATGGAAGGTATATGAGTAAATGGTGCAAAGCAGAAGAAAGCATGACTAAGAACATTTACAAAACAATACACATACATATGTGGTTGTATGTGTGCATACGTATATATTCTGCTGAAACCTACAAAAGAAACCACACAGAAATTGAACAAACAGACAAAAAAATAAATCCTTAAACAAACAGAACTAGAAGGCAGACCTGAGAATTAGGATCTATGCATCTTTTGGCCTTTTACAAATCTGCTGAATTACCGAGGACAGAATCCCAGTAAATGAAGGTGTTACCATGACAGCTGATAATCATGTCAGCATACTGTGTGCCTGGCTCACCTATACCTGATTCCACTTTCTCTTGAAGCATATGTAAAAATGTTGCTGGATACACTGTTTGGGGTTTTATTTTGAAAGAGGTTAGTGGTGGAGGCATCATGAGCCTGCCTACAAATCAGGTACTGGTTCTGCTTGGCTGGCTAGGAAGAGCATCACAGCCTGACAGCAAAAAGCACATTTTGCACAGCCTTCTCCAGTGGAAAGCTTTCTTCACGTGCACAGGAAAATAGGGACCAAGTTTCTTCTGAAAATAACATGGACACAAGGCTTCTCTTCACTATCTGAGCAATAATAGCATCATGTGGTTATCCTACACTTCAGCTAAAAATCTAAAGTCCTAAACTAAAGTGTCCTTTCAACTTAAGTTGTTTACAATGTCATACACCATTAAAAACATCTTGTTTTGGTTTTCTGTACTGAACAAGGACACGTTGCCATGGATGTTTGTTTTTTTTTTTAAATTTCACTTGCTGAAGGTTTTCAGATATACAAATGCTTGAATGTGAAATTGATGACGATACACAGAACTGTACTACTAACAAGTTGGTTTATTTCCTGAGTTGTCAAATGTCATAGCAGATAATTCTAAGTTGTGCACAGCCTTACAGATGAAACCTTGTAGCATTGGGTCATTTCTTATGGTCCCCCTGATAATGAAATTCCAAAAATAACAATGTAATGGACTTGATTACACAGAAGGTTTCGTTTGGAGAGACAAATTGGAGAGACACAAACATCCATAAACTGAGAAGATGGTATTGTTTTACTGCTTTTAGAGACCATCAGAATACATCCCTGCTTTACTGAGGGTAAAAAAAAGGGAGAGGTTGAGGTTAAATATCTGGAATACCAGATTGTTTTGATTATTTGTGGTACTGCCCTTATTTCTTTTCTCTCTTGGTACTTTCAGCTTGTCTTTTTGAAAAAAATTGCTTATTTTTGAGATTTGAAGACAAAACAAAATCTATAGTGCACTCCTTTGCAGGTATGTAATCTGTTTTAATTCAAATTCTGTAAACATATTAGTTCTACCAGTAGGATAATCCACAGGGAAAATCACATCACACATAGCATAATAGGAACAATATGTTATTTTTTTTCAAAAAACAATCTCAAAACAACAGCTTCATTTTTGTACCATAGCAATATCAGTGAACAGCAGCTGAACAAGTGACAAATTAAAACCACAAAGAAAACAACCCCAAACTTATCAATATTCTTATTGGTTTAAAAACTAGCAAGCTACATAAAAGAGAAACTTCCAAAATCTCAATTTGAAATGCAATATTAGAACTCTTTAAATATTTTATGAGTCTGGCAGGTTGGGACGCAATATTTGTTGTTTGGATTATGTAAATAGACTTTCCAGTGTAAACAAACTATTGTTTATTGCTGCTTAGTTTCAATATTTCCCATAGATTTGTCCTTTCCTTTTGGAATTTAAAAAATTCTTTTGAATAAACTCCATCAACTGTAATTTGGAAATTTTATGTTGAGCAGTTACTGTGCTATTTCAAGCTGTATCACTAGCTCAAATAGTTAAGAGGGAGGAAAAAAGAATCAATGAAGCAAAATGACACAACCATGGATAGCAACCAGCTCAGCATACCATCTAAACTGTAAAATAGTTCTGTGGGTTTTTTAAGGTCTTAGAAACTTTGCTGAAAGGAAATAAATGTAGTAAAATATCTTGTCATTAAAAAACTGAGTTTTGAATACCTTGAAGGGTATTCTAGGGTAACTATCATCTGTGTGACTTGAAAATGAATTTATGAGATTAAAGAGAAGTAAAACCTTTTCCATAATAGTAAAAATAATCTTTTTCATTGGGTCAGAAAGGGAAATGTTTAAATTTAATGTTCAAAAGAATATTCAATGATCAATAGTACAACTAAGTCTTTCAAGGGTGTAAACTCACATCTCTTTGAAAAAGACTTCTGAATGTAGGAAAGGCAGTCACCAGAGTTTGAATCAACAGGACGAAAAGAAACTCACAGTCTATGAAAGAAGGTGAAAGTTAGAATCTGTTATTTTCTTTATTCATTTTAGACAGATTCCTTTACCTTAAAGAACTTTGACTGTAATATGTTCATGATACTGCTCCTTCTGCTCTCCCATGGCTGTGAGTTTTGGGGTAAAACAGTGATTCACTCAGGAAACAGGCTGTTCTAAGGGCTGGACCCACCAAGGAACACAAGAAGCTGGACACCCCCTCCTTTGGCAGGGTAGTTCAGCAATTAACCTTCTTTATGACCTCCACCTGACCTAAATTCCCACCCACCTTCTCTGCTAGGCACCTAAATGTTTTGGAGAATGTCAGAAATAGCAAGTTCTAACTATACTGTGCAACTCAACCACCTGCCTCCGCTCCAGGTCTTATCCCAGGACTAGGGGACAGGAGGAGAGGACCAAGGAAACACAGCAGGCAGAACAGGTGAAGTATAGCTGCCACCAGCATTTCCTAGCTTACTCCTGACAGTTCCAAATAAGAAACCTTACTTCAGAAAAAGCAAAGATTTAATATTCAGAGGATTGTTCAGATGATTGATCTCACTACTGGTTTCATTTCTAGGGGTGTTTGTTTTGTTTTGTTTGTTTGTGTGCTTTTTTGTGTTTTGTTTTTAATGGATGATTATTTTTATTATTGTAATCATAAAGATATCAGGGCACCAGGACTCTGGTTTTTCAAATTTACTTTTAAATCTTATGTGCACCATGCTCCTTTAAATATGCTCTGTTACAGAGCTCTGTGAAAGCCCAAATCAATGGTATTTATTTACAGAAGGTGAAACTCTGCCTCAGTGAGTACTCCCTAGTGCAATTTCCTTCAAAGCTGAGATGCTTAATAGGAGTTAATCCTCTGAACAGCTTTGTAAGTCTGACACTAAAGGTTATTTCCAAAACCAGCCCGTCTGTCTACAAGATAGGTGCTAAAATGTTCTTTTAGGCTTCAGACCCCAGGAGTAGAAGCTGTTTGCCAAGCTCTCAGACTGTATTGTTCAAGGTGTAAGCAAGGCAACACAAAAGACATTTCCCAAGCACACACATTCCTGGAGAACCTTGTTGGGCTGTAGCACAAGGCTCCCCTTCACAGCTGTGCCTGGCTGGGCTGTGGTGTCAGGGCAAGTGTGGGCTCAGGGCGAGCACTGCTCCTTTGGTATCTCAGGCAAATGGTTCCACCCCCAGGCCAGACACCCACAGCGTTCTTCCAAACACTAAACTGGAGCAGGCTTTTCACTGCCACCAGAAATGCTGGCTCATCCAGCATCCTTCCTGCCAAATCGCTCAGGAAATGGGAGACCCTTCCCAGCTCTCTCCCAGCCTGCATCAGACAAGTCAGCACGCTCTCTCCCCTGCCTTCTGAAGCTGGGCTCCTGCACAGGAACAACTCATATTTTCAGGATGAAGAAGAGTCTGCAGGGCTTGGGAGGACACTCTTCTACCAAGAGGGTCCTTGTCTCTGCTTTTGTCCCTACCTTTTTTTATGTTGTTGCTCTTTTCTAATACTACAATGCATTGAGAGTTATGAGAAGAGTATGAGAGAGACAAGCATCTGGATAACCATGGGATAAATGAGTAATGAGTTTGCCTACATTTCCTTTAAATCAGGGGAGTCTCAGGAACTGTGATATAGCCTCAGCTGTGTGTCAGATACCACTGGGGCAGGCTGCCACCATGCCTCAAGCCTGACCAGTGCCACTGCTCTGACTGATTTCTTGGCCCTGATAAGGCTTGATTTATAAAGCTGCAGATTTACCTTACTATCTGTGCTACAGTCTTACATATCCCTACATATAACTTAGGATATAATATTTGAGCTAGAAATATCAAAGGAAATGTACAAAGCTATCTAACACACATTTCAAAAGATTATTTCCACACTATCCACATTTTTAGCCTGTATAGTTAGATAAAATAATTAATATGAATTACTAGCCATGGCTGACACATTTCTTCTAACCTTATGCTTACTTAAAAAGACAACTTTGTAATTTTACAAAAAAAGCATCTCAGTGGTTCTAAAGGATATTTAACACCTGTCTTAACAGTTTATTAAATTAGATTGTTACATTAATAATTAATTTGTAGCATTAACCAGTACATTTTATAAAATTATTTAAGTGATCAATAGCTTATCATACTAAGATATAAACAAAAGCACAGTATCTTTTTTTTTCTTCAATACTTTTCTCTGTTCGTGCTGATGTCTATATGTGTATTTGAAAAGAGGACTGTATGTTAGAAATATTTGCATGTATTAAAATTAATCTTTTACTACTTTTTTTCCCTCTGAAATAAAACTGTCTTAAGCAGACATTTATTATTTTCTTTGAAATGTCTATAATTTACCCAACAATGTTAAAATGGGAGGAACCTTCCTACAGAACTCTGTCAGAACATTTTGAAATTAGAAGAAAAAAGGTTGAGCACCTCTGTATGTATTTTTACGGATCATAAAGGAAGATATCACACAGATCACACAGAACTCAATGAGCTGTGAAAATTATACTTTTGACAATACCTGGCTGCAGTGAGTTCCACAAAGCTGTGTGATAACATTGGTGGTGCATTATGCAAAATACAGTTTTTTTCTATATTGCATAATGGGTGTCAGGCAGATTGGTACTTGGTTCTTCCAGCCAGGTAAGGGAAAATGAGCCCATCATGCTTTGTAAAGAATGCAATGTAGAGCTGTGAATCAGACTAAGCACACGGCATTGTTTCCAGCTCCTGATGAAGGAGAAGTTGAATGCCATGGGGAAGAGTTTTGTGCTCAACATGGCCCACTGCTGTGTGCATAAGTGTTTGCCAATTTCTCCTAATCTTTCTAAAGATTACAGAATCTGGTTTTATTTTTGTTGATTTCTTACCACATTCTTCACTTCCTTTCATAAATGTCTCTACCTTTTTATAGTGGTGATTTTCAAAAAATAAAAGGTTAGCATGTATCATTCTTCGGTAAGGTCATAACACTATTTTTTTCATATATTTTCTGTTTTTCCTTGCAACCATCTCAAATCAGAACAATTTCAAAAAAGCAGTTCTGGGTATCTCCTGCCACAGCTGATCATCTATGGAAACTCAGGAAATGCGACAATTAACACCCACAAGAAAAAAATTATTTTATGTCATTTATTCTGTTTGAAGTACTGGAGCAGTGATGAGAATAAATGTTTAACTGAAACCCTTATTTTCATTATTGGTATGGAATTGCCAAACCAGCCAATTAATTTTGTGCTATTTTCTATCCCATTCTGACTTGCTATCATACAATTTTTAAAAAGACTGAAAACAATGTGTCAGCTGATTAAAAATTAACTTCATTCATGTCAAATATTCTCACTGGAAAAAATCTACTGTAAAATATATTAATGCACTTGACAATCTCAGGATTGTAAGAGAATGTAGTAAATCTGTTGAACTTCATGAAGATTTCTGCATCAAAGCAACAAAAAACCCCAATGAAATTCATTCTTTGGGACTTTAAATGTGATGTTTAAAGATATTAACTTTTTCCTATTAGAGAACCTATTCTTTCTGAGTTTGCATTCAGCTTAAAAGGAAATATTGTCTCCATTACAGCTAGCAATATTCATAAAAATATGGACATTGTCAAATGCTTTAATTATATTTAATAATACTTAAACCTCAGTTACTTTCATATGTGTTTTAATTGTGTCTAAAAATCTATTGAGCTGCATAAGCTTGTAAAAATCCTTGCAAAGTGAAACTTCCATTTTCTTCAACAGCACCACTCTGCCAACAGATACTAATATTTACGTTTCTAAGCACAATGTAATTTAAGTAATTGCTGAATACACAGGACCTTCACCCATCATCTTTTACTGTCTTTTAAGGACCTGAACAGGGAGATAAACTTCTTGTTACAACAAAGGAGTCAATATTCTTTGAGGTTTTTTCCATTCCACCATAAGCTTATCCTTGTTTCCAATATACCTCACCTTTTTATCTAAAATAAAAAGTGACAAGCATTTATTTATAATATCAAGAACGAACCCTGCACCCTTCATGTAGAGCAAGATTTTATAACTGCAGAATTCATATATCCAGCCCTTAGATTTTAAAATTGTGTCACTACAGTGGTGTTGCACAGTCATTATCTTCTACTTACAAAACACAGGCAGGCATTTTGACCAGTTCTCTGTGGTTAAAACTGTAAAATTCTAGTATATCCTGTTGCATAATAAGTATGTTTGGAAAGAGTCACAAGTATTTGAATGATGTATGGAAAAATGAAATTTTCCAGTGCTATTGGATCTGTTCTCGTAATCAAAGCGCAACTTTTTACACGTTTTCCACTGTTCACTCCATTCCACGTGTGGATAAAAGCCACACTTACTCCTTTGCAGTAGGTATAAAAAAGAGCCAAAATACACTGATATTAAACACTAAAGCAGAGATTAATTGGAACTCATTACTCCTTCCTTTTTAGTATTTTGTAAATAATCCCATATTTCATGCTAAAATGCACAGCCATTCAAGACAGTTATATTTTCTAATGGAAAACCACCCTGCAGTTTCTAGGTTACCAGATGAAAACTAGCAATGTGGCTGGTGAGCTAAGTCTGGGTAGAGGTTTATATGCTGCAGGCTGATGGTCTTTGTCTGTTCTAGAGATCAAATATCTCAAAAAACCCTACTCCTCACAGTATTGCCTTTTAGACTGGAAAGCTGAGCAAGCATGAAGTTAATTCCTTTTCTGATAAATGCAGTACATAGATATGATTAACGACTGACCTTTTTTTCTCTTTGCCGTAAGCAGGTAAGGGTCGTCACAGATTGCCTGCACTTTAGCAACTTCTAAATAAATGGGTGCCTGAAGGCTGTATTTTGTACTTAAATTATTGCTATAGAGAGCACTTTAAAACACTTTTGCCCTCAGACACTCAATTTCAACCCTTCTTCCAGCAAAGTATTATTAACTTAGAACAAAACTTGATTATAGTTTTCTGCATCCCAGGATGCAGCAGGATTTCTATACATGTGTTGTGGAATGAAGTATTTTACCGAAATGTCTTAGTAGACTTTTGACAAAACAAAAGAGAGCAGCTATTGTCAATATCTCGACACACTCCTTTGGTTTGTAAATACATTTTCAAGTTTTACTTGTAGCTCTTCTGGAACCAAAAAAGAAGAAAACAAACAGCAAAGCCTCCCAGAGACAGAACTTGATACATGTGACCATGTATCTGCCACAAAAAGTAATGTCTGAATATTTACTCAGTAAAATAGCAAAGTCCCTGCTACAAGAGATTCTCCTTTCTCTTTCACATGGGCAGATGAAATTGTTTCAAAGGAGTGTACTCACAGATAGTTTAAACTATAAATAATGACATGGGCTGTTTAAAAAATGGGACTCTCCAAGTTCCTTAGCATCATTTGATGATTTATTAGCAGTCTCTTTCAATTTCACCTTTTCTGCGCCAAGTGACTTGAAAATCAAAAGTACCAGCATGCATCAATCTACAATATTCACAGTAAAGATATATTAGTAAGTATATTTAGTAATGCCATGTGTTATTGGTTTGTAGGGGTGAATATATTGTTATCAAAGGGTGATTTCAAAAAAAATGTAAATCACGGTTACAATTATATTTTCATATCACATCCTCTGAGACAGAAATAAAAGCAGAAGCTTTCTTTTATTTCCTTTATTTTATCATGTACTAATGCTGTTCCATTTGTACCAGCTGTACCTGGTTACCACTGAAGACATTTTGCTGCCCTCCATCCCTTCACAGCTCATTAGCTGAAAACTGAGAGCAGCTCTGGGGTCAGGAGTAGTCTGTGTGCCTTGCACAGGAGGAAAGCCGAGACTGGAACAGGGTCCCATGGGGTCCCTGGGTCTATTTAAAGGCCACTGTAGTCTCTAGGCAGGCAGCTCTACCACGTGTTCCAAAAGAGAGTTTTCCTTCTGGTGGAAGCACTAGGAGCTGTACAAAGTGGTCTCAGTGGCCATCACTTAGGTTATCAACAGGCATGTGCCAGGAATTAAAGCAATTCCATGAGAACAGAATTTTCTGGCACACTGCTGTGACAGTGTCTGCCTGGTTCTCATGGAGCTTTTCTGAGGAACATTTGTGGAAGCTGTGTGAATACATCAGTGTTACAGTGATATCATCTGCTGTTCTGGAGTGGCACTAGTGGCAGCATCCACTGGCTCTGAATACTTTTGTGCTTCAGGTTACCAGCTGTCTTAGACTGTGTTACAGTACATTGTAAAGTTGCATCCTCATTTTCCAATCCTAGTGTGCTTGTGTTTGGTCTCTACAAGAAATAGGTTCCCAACAGGTCAGACTTGCTAAAGATTTGTTGTGTTCTGAAGCTTTGTTCAATTTTCTGTGTATTGTATGAGACCTCACAGGTATTTTATAAATGTGAGTTGAGAGGATGGTTGCATTATGCAACAAAAGCAAAATATTTAGTAAAACTGCTATATATGGCCATATATAGCCACAACTGCTCTAATGCCCTCTTCCCTCCTTTTTTGGTGTGTTTTCTTTGAAAATAGCATCTACATTTTCATTAACTTGACAATACTCAGGTACTGCATAGGAAGACAAAGCCACAGACAGCAACTGCTCCCCAGGAAACAAAAAGAGAACATTATATAGATCTTATGCTTTTTATAGAAATACTAGTTGAAGTACTAGGTTAAAGTATTTCTAGTTGAAGTACTAGGTTGAGGATTTAGATAGGTTATTAAAGTATATGGACACTGGAACTATAAAGCATATTCTCCTGTTTTGCCTTTTCCCCACTTTTGGGTTATGTAGAATGACTGGTATTTAAGTCATGAGGAAGAAAGTTACTTGGACTTGAAAACTGCATTGAAACTGTAGAACATAGAAAACTTAATTTAAGGAGTTTCAAAGAAAATATATTTAATTTTAGGGCAAGTGGAAGAATCCCAGTTGCAAAGGAATAAAAATAATTGACCATTTCCCCAAAAGGCAAATATTTGGCAAAGCTGCACTGAATAACAGAATTACATCATCATCGTTTTGTACAAAATTTCACATTTAAAGTTTGCAAATTGGAAAATTTCCCTAAGCAAAATGTCAACTGAATCTTTTTCTTAAATGAAAGTGTGAATGAATCTTCCTTGATGGGTACAGCTCTGAGAGCACCCTAGGTACAGTGCCCTGACAGCGTGGGAGAGCAGTTTTTTCATTTCAGCTCATCAAAATACTCTCTGCAGGGAGCCATTCTATTCCTGAGTATGGCAGCACTGTGAGAAGGAAAAGAGGTAGTGAATGAGAAGAAGAAAAACAGAAAAAACAAATAAAGGTGATTGTGGTGGGGTAGAACTGTTTCATTGAAGTGGATCGCAAAGCTTTTTTATTCAGCAGCCGTTCACTGAAAGCTGTAAGTCTGCAAGGTCTCTTAGCCAGGAAAATGGTTGGAGAAAAGCTGACCATACTGTATCAGTAAATGTTTAATCAAAAGCAGAAGTTTCTTCCATACCTTTTAATACATATATATATAATGTGCATATATAAAACAACCCAACAGCACTTTTCCCGTTAAATTATAGTACATAAAACCGATTGTTTCATTGGAAAAGAGTCTATGTGTCTCCTCCTTGGTACATTTCCTCAACCTGTCCTGAGAAACAACCAATGAACTGAATTCCTCTGGTAATCATGGCAATAGTTTCACACTGGGAACAGAACACAAGGCTCCTCAGATCATAGAAGAGGGCAAATTTTTCTCCTCACAATTTCAAACATTTCAGGGCATCACAAGAAGTACATAAATATTTGATAACAGTTACAAAAATCTAAATGTTCAGGATAGATAAAATTCATTCCCCACCTACAGGTATGCCTTCCAACTTATTTCCTCATTACTGATTACAAACATCTACTACAGTTCGTTTTTTAAAGACGTCTTCCAAAGACAGAAAATCTCCATTGAGAGGTACTCATCCTCCTTTTGAGAGTAAACAGATGCTTGACACATGATCATACAAGATACAATGCGCATCTAGAACAGAAATCTGAGAAGGAAACACAGAAAATCAAAGTAACGCTGACCAGAAAGACAAGACCAGAGCTCAGCTCTACCATGTCTGGCCCAGCTGTGGCACGGGCAGTTGCCAGCTGGGCAAGTGCCCACTTTTTTTGTTTGAGGAACAGTTTTCCCGCTTTTTAAAGTTAGGCTTGCAGGGATGGCTACCTAAATAATTTGCGAAAAAGAGGATTTTGCAGCAGTTCTGAGGACTAGACTGTGCTGCTGATAGGGAACCTCACAGCTCTTAGGGGCATGGTGAAAATTGCACGTGTAAGGGATGAATTTGTGCCCCAGGAATTTAAGATTAGAGCTGAACCAGGCAATAACCTTACCTTCATGCACCAAACCCTATTCCCAACAAAACATATCAGCCTGCTGCTCCAGTATTTGTGAATGCCTGGCTCAAAAAACACCCAACCACCCTCTAGGGCAGTGGGTGAACCCGCTCGGGTCTGGAGGTGACCCTCACAGCACTGATGCCACATCTTGAGTAGGTGACATTTCAGTGCCTCCAGCGGGAATTGCGGGCTGTGGCAAGGATCTACAGAGGTTGTGGGTGAAGACAGGCTGTCCTGCTGGTGGGGGCGGGAAGGAAGGCCCCCAGTGTCAAACGTGCCATTGCAGCGGAGCCCCAGAAGGGACCTTCTCCGGTCATGCAGAAACCTTCACACCAACCAACACAGTTTCATTTGTTTCCACCACTTTCTTACAACACAGACGTGTCCCCCCTTCCTCCCTCCCCCCAACCCCCCAACCCCCTCCTTTCTGAACATATCGACAAAAGGAACGGCAAAATAAATAAATAAAGACTTAGCCTCTGCTTCGGGGCAGCCGCCTCTCCAGGGTCCCGCATCGGCGGCGCCCCGGCTGGAGCTGCTCGGCGTCAGTGTTCACGGCAAATGGCGGGTGCAGAGGGGGCCGGCGGCGCCCCGGCCCTGGCGGGAGGCTCCAGGCTCAGCTGTCCATGTGCAGCCCCCGGCTGTCATTGCACCAGCCCCGAGCCGTAGCTGAAGGTGTAGCTGCTGGCCAGCGACAGCGGCTGCTGGTGCTCCTCGGCCTGCTCCGACGGGTAGCTGGGAAAGGTCTGCGCCCGGGACACCTTCGCTGAGCCGAGGCTGTGACCTGGAGCGGGGAGACATGAACACACAGGATCTAAGTGGGCTTTGAAGCTTTTCACCTCCAGTGGATTAGCTTCCTACCGTCCCATGGTGTCCGGAGAGCAGAGTTGCTTCATTGGGTCCTTTTGGGGCTGCAGAAGAGGGTATTCCCTGTGGCTAAGGGCACAGGTGGCTGACAGATTCCCAGCCAAGGCAAAAGGCCCCAGACCCAACTCAGATATAATTTAGGGTGACAACTACTATTTCACAGACATCTTTTCATAAAAATCCTTTCTTTAGGATTTTTCCCCTTCTGGGAAGCTGAGGCCCCCAGAAGAAGAATGTAAACAGTGGTTACCTGCTGCTGTGGAATGCAACAGGTGCGCCTGTGGTTGGCCCATGTTGGATGTGCACAATTAAGGGCCAATCAAGGACCAAGCTTTCTCAGGGGCAGAATCAGAGAGAGCTCCCTTGTTATTCATTCTTTCTCTATTCTTAGCTTAGCAAGCTTCTGAGAATTTTCTCTCTATTCTTTTTAGTATAGTTATAATGTAATATATATCGTAGACTAATAAATCAGGCCTTCTGAACATGAGGTCAACATTCAAGCCTCTCTCTTCACCCTGAAGACCCTTGCAAGCCCTGTAACATTACTATTTAAAACTTCAGTGTCGTATTTGTGCATTTTCTACTTAATAAGTCTTAGTGATGTCAGTTATGGCTCAGAAATAACTAGTGCACATCTTTTTTACCTGAAGCGCTTCCCATGAAGGTAATGCCAGGGGTTTCAAAGGGATTAGTTCCACAAATCCCACTTCATTTACTTACTCTCCTTTGAACATAATGCCAGTTTGTCAGGTAAGCACAGCACCACTGTAATTCCAAAAGGAACTGGCAGTGGGATATGGTGCACATGGTAGAATACTGTTTAGGAGGAGGATGTGCCAGGATGTGCTCTTTTCCAGATGGCCTTGTGAAGCTCATATAACCATTGCTTTAATCAGCAAGATGGGAAACCACATGTGAAAAGCCAGTGATGAAACTCAGGTAACCATGACCCAATTCTGTAACCTGATAGTTTTCCTAACTTGTATTTCCTTTCGAAATTGTAATTTAATAAGTAACAAAACCAAAATGCATATCTTGATGCAATTTTTTGTTGATGTCGTTTTTGGAAATGTGTATTTAAACTTGGATTTAAAATGGTTTTGCATAATGCTTTAAAAAATATCTTAACGCACTTATTACAGGTAAGAATGCAAAATCATATTTTTGTGCCAACCACAGAGATTTTAAAGAATAGCTGCAATGGTATAGACTCAAATACTAAAGAATTCAGCTCATGCTGACACGTTTCAGAACAGTTAGCAGCTGGCCCAGTAGGGGTGGAACCAAGGATGATGTTCACCAACCTTGGGAAAGCATTTCCTCACTTGCATTTGGAAAAGTTTGATCCTAACACTTTGCTGACTTCGTCATGAAAAAAACTCCATGGCTCCCTCTGAACATGATACTATCAGACCAATGCTGGGACCAAGAGAGAAAAAAAATCCAACTAAATGAAAAATAGAATAGAAGGTGCACCTTAGTGACACTGAAGACAGTAAAACCAGAACCTGAATTCCCAGTGGCATGTTAATGATCATAAAATCAGTTTCAAAGCACAAGCAAGCAGGATGAATTTTTTATGTGTATTTTTATTCTTTATTCATGGGGTTAAATTGACATTGGCTACCAAAACTTGGCTGAGATGAAAGGTTTAAATGTTTTCTGCTTCAAGAAGCTTTCGCATCAAACTGAACTAAAGCTTATGGTGACTGTGAGCTCTGAGCTACACAGTAGCTGATAATGTTTGTGAATAGTCCTAAAGGTTTTATTGCTTTAACCAACTTTTAATCATGATATTATATCAGGCCTTTATTAGTTTTTTACTTTTATTTGGGATTACATCACAATAACTGTCACTTTATTTCTTAATCTAATGCAAACCTAAGCATGAAAAGACGAATTATTCTAGATTTTAAATTTTTGTTGCAAATCTGCCTCATTTCCTTCTCAGGAGGTAAGATCTTGCTCTCCCTTTACCCAGAAACACAAGTATATGTCTTTTAAATGTCATAAGGGCTGATAAACCAGGCACATGATTTCCTACGTAAAATTTCTCTCTTTCCTACTAATAAAGATAAATAAAATATGTCAAGGTATAACTTTCCTTTATTTTCTTAATGCATTTTATCCAAAGAGCATAAAACAATCCCTGTGACAATGAGCACTATAGTAAAAAGACTAACTAACCACAGAGTTCCTAAACTCAGGCCTATTTGCATCATCTGCTGTATCTTGTATAATTAATTTTAAATCCACTTTTGTACAATAGTGTAGCTTTAATACAGTGATGAATAGTGTCCCTAATACACTAATTTCTAGCCACGGAATTTAGGCAATGTCCTAGAATGCAGAAGATGAATTTGAATCTATGAGAGTTAAAAAGGAAATTAAATTCAGGTCTTTCATTTCCAAAAGCCAACACATCCCTTGCTGTTCTGTAAAGGAAAATTTGTAGATGCTAAATGTCACAACAGGGCTAGTTTTTGCCATTCTGTAGCCAAAGAGTTTAAGGAGGAGAGTTGTTCTCTCCTAACTGCTAGGATATGTAGTGAAATAGAAGAGAGACAGACAGATTGAAAAGATTAAGGCACACTTAACAGAGCCAAGAGGTCTAAGATGTCTGGTTGAGGTTGAAGCTGAACAGTATGACATCAATCTATGAAAATAATAAGAAAAAAAATAGAGGACATTGGTTCAAATGAAATGGGAGAGCTATGGGTAATAGAAAAGTTACGAGTTTGGAAAGAATGGATCCAGGCAATATATTTACTTTCAAATTATATTTAAAAAAACCCCAATTAATATACTTGAATAAATGAATAAGAAAATGATGGTGGCAACATAAAAAAATAGTCCAAAAGGTTCCAAGTGGACTTAAGACTGCTAAGTAGTAAATTTCCAAAATTTAGGGCACTTTTTAGCTTTTTGTTAAAATTCAGCATATCACATACTGGAAATTCTACATTATAATATATCCTTTTATTTTCATTCCCAAATATTATTTTAAACTTCATACAGCTGATCAGTCTTATGGAGCCCTAGGTACTGCAGTGTCTCCAAAGTTACAATTTATGTCAGCACTTAGGATTTTGAAACCAAAGATACAGGTAAAGTTTTTGCAGTGAAGGATTAAAGTTCCACAGCTTTCTAAGTTTCCTGCTTCAGTCACATTTGGGCCTTAAAAGGTTAAGAGAGAAGAAGAAGAATAAGAATACTGTTTGTGGATTTTGCAGCTCTTTGGTACCACAGCTGCTTTTAAGAACACAAAACTAACTCTTCCCTGCAATTCTTCTGAAGTCAGCACAAAACGAATTTGATTCACACAGATTTTATGACCTGAAGATACCAATGGAGCTGGGAGAGGTTTTTTCCCCCGTGGCTTACAGAGGAAAAGTTGGGTTTGTTTCTGTTCCAGGACAAGACCTTGGAAACATGAATATTATTCAGCCTGCTTCATCCTTTATTCAAATTTACTCTCAGGATTATAGAATGCAATGAAGCTGCAGTCCAAAGCAATTAGGTATGAATGATCCATCAAGAAAATTTAATGTAACCCAGTAAATTACATTAAATTAGATTTTTCCTGATCTTAATTATGTTGGAAGCAGAGGAAGTATACACAAGGATCTTATTTCATGGCATGGTGCTTATTTATAACAATTCTTTGGAGGAAAAACCCAATGGTTTCCTAGTAACAGAAGTGACTGATGTACATATGAGTAGATCGATCACAACTTCTGAGAAAAAACTTGCAGTACTAAGCTAAATGAAAAGGAAAAAAAAAAAAGAAGAGAAGAGATCCAGGGATAAGCTTTAAAAGCTCCCTTACTGCTGCTTATTGGGAGATGTTTCTGTTTTAGATTCAGAATTCAAATTCTTAACCAGAAGGCAGGTGCCAACCATTTTTCTTTTCTAAATGAGATAAAGGTCACTCTTTTATTTTCAAATACAAGAATTCAAGGGATTCTGATCTGATGTTCATTGGCTAGAGCACTCATGTCTGATGTACAAGTCCTGTGTTAAAATTCCCCTCTGCCTGTGGGTAAGGTTCAACATTACACTTTCTGTGGAAAACCAGCTGAAAGCACTCCCTTTCTGCTCTGTGCTGACACTGCTGCTCACTGTCCCTCAGTTGAGCCATTGAGACCGCAAAGCTGCTTTGCAGGCTGAAGCACTTTGGTCATCTGGTTTGCAAGAGCCCCACAAATCTCTGTGCTGGCAAAGCTGAGGAGCAGCAACAAGCAGCCAAGGGAAGAGATGGCAGGTTTTTCTGAGGCTGGTTTCCCTGCCAGATGGTTTGTTTGGCAAATGATGACCCGTGAGCAATGCACTGCCATCGCCACCAGACTGCTCACAGCTCTCATGCAGGAGCACTTTTGAAACCCCATGATTGATCTTCTCCCGTCCAAGATCTAATAGAAGTTTATGTTTCTGCAGTACAGTGATTAAAAATTAATAGAACCAGAGGCTCCTGTGTTTCAGCTTCTGTTGCAGGCCTTTAATTACTTTATATGAGATAGCCATTAGGTAAAAATAAAGACATTTGCAGCTGCACAGCAAGCTTTCATCTGGGATTTCTTAACCTCTGAACAGATGACTTTACAAACAAAAGGATGTACTTCTAATGCATTTCTGTTTTCTGGGTAAGAGTAATAAATTTGTTTTTGAAAATAAAATTTTGTATTTCCATTTCTAAGATTATGAGCACAAAATTGAAGTCATTAAATTAAAGCCAATTGGATGTCTTTATTAGTATTTTGTTTTGTATTTGGGAGTCTCTGAGACTTTACAATTCCAAGAGTTCTGCAATTGCTATAGATGTCTCTATAAATGCTACAGAAATACTTCTGCTCAAAAGAAATTTCTATGAATCAATCAGTACAGGCTAAGAATAAATTAAGTGAATCAATTGCTCCA